AGCAGCGGAGCTCTTTACCACTGCGCCACCAGGGCTCCCCTTGGGGCGCCGTTAAACTCTCTAGAAAAGACTGCTCCTCCCAAGGAGCACTGTGCTTGCGCCCCACTCTGCGGCTTCCAGAAGTTTCCCTCCTTCCAGCTCACCTCCTCTCAGGGCCTGCTATTAGCCCCACCCCAACAGGGTGGCCCAAGTCAGCAAAGTCCCTGCTCACGCTCCTGGGGATGTGGGGTCTCCTTGGCGTGGGCTTCTTCAGGTCTCTCTGGCCTCACCCCCTCACACCACCTCCTTCAGGAAGCCCTCCTGGCAATTTTTCCCTCTATTAGTGCTTGTCTAGGCCCCAGGTGGAGCTGCCCCTTGGAGGGGAATGAGGGAGCACGGGCCTGCAACAGCCGTACAGCTCCAGCTCACCTGCCTTCGGATCTGCACCCGAAGGGGAAGAGGTGGCCCACCCGCCCGAGCCCTCCTCACCCAGCCCCAGGACGGGCCCCACATTCCAAACAAGCAGACGACCTTAGAGAGGTGACTCGGGGGCCAGGGAGCATGGAGGTCAGGCCTGTCCACAGCATGGATGCAGGCAGCTGATGATCATGTGAGGACAGCGACCGCCAGGAAAAGGTACCAGTCTGCACAGGGGTGGGAGCACCAAGCCTCACCACCGGGCTGGGGGGCTGCGCAGGCCATGGCTGGTGCAGAGTGCCCCAGACCCCGAGTTCTCCCCTGCAGAACAGATCCTTACCCGCCACACTGCCCTCCTCACCCCACTGCTTAAGAAGGGGTCTGTGAAGCCTGAGGTGTTTCAAATCATTTTGATTTTGTGTCGGGAGACCTGGGGGGCCCACGGTCACCATTTTGTACACTATTTACAGCTCTGTGAGTGTGAAACGGACAGGAATATCAGGGGTTCTACAAAGACCCTCCCGCAGCCGCTCGCCCACTGGGCTTTCTGCAAAGGGTTTTACAAATACCTCAGAGCCCACTTTCTTCCCACAGAGGGTTTTCCTTCCTTGACAGGAAGGCAGGGTGCACGCCTTAAGGGGGTCTCCTGAATGTGGGGGCAGGCAAGAAAAGGGGTTTCCTCTCCATTCCCAGGGGCCACCTGTGTTAGCACCTCGACTCCATCGCAGGCTCCAGCTGAGCTGCAGGAGAGGTGGTCTTAAATAACTGAGCCAATCAGTGAAGTGGTGAGGGGCTTCCTTGGGCAGAAAGTCCGGGTGATTCACACAGAGTTGAAGAGGGAGGTTCCAGGGTTTTCATCGCATGCACCCCTCTATGGAGGAGGCCTCAGTGGGTGGAGTCCTGCAGGGGCTGGGGGGTGGCTGGGGCTGTGAATTGCTGGGTCCCAGAGCCTGGGTGACTCTCGAGCCTCCAAACAGGTTTGAGGCAAGCCCCCTCGGGGTGGGGGTGCCACCAAGAGGGCAACCTGGCGCTGTACACCTGGCCAGCCTCTAGGTGGGGCCCCATGTCGGGGAGGAGAGGGATCGGCCTCCACCCTCCTAGATGCTCCACCCTGTGAGTCTACCAGGTCAGAGGGAGATGCTGGACCAGAAAATGCCAGAGGCACCACAGAAGCTTGGGGCGGGGTCCGGGGGTGACAGGGATGACCAGTGTCCAGGGAGGGCCCAGGGAGCTGGCGGCAGCATCCGCTCTGGCTGACAGCAGTGGCAGACAGGGGACCCCACACGGCATGAGGCCTCCCTGCCCCCACTGAGCTGCCTTTGGGCTTTCGGGGAACCAGCACTGCTGGGACAGCCAGGTGGGCCCTCTGCCTAGTAGCCAGGGTGGCCAGGACCCCACCTCCGGGGTGCGCCAACATTCCAGTGCCACCTACAACTGCTAAAATCATTCATTCTGTGGGGCTTCCTCCCTAGGCAGCTTCAAGCTGGCGGGGCAACAAGGGGAAGAGTCAGAGACAAAAGCCTGTCAAAGTCAGGGACACAGTGTGTACCTGTATGTGTGAGTACATGTGTGTGTGAGTACGTGTGTGTGAGTATGTGTGTATGTGAGTACATGTATGTATGTGTGTGAGTACGTGTGCATATGAGTATGTGTGTGTAAGTACGTGTGAATGAGTATGTGTATGAATGTTATGTGTGTGTGAGTACATTGAGTACGTGTGTATGTGCAGTGTGCCTGAGCATGTGCATGGTGTGTACGTGCATGTATGCGTGCACAAGATCATGTGTGCCTTGTACTGCGTGTGCATCTGTACGTGTGTCGGCGTGTGTGTGTGTGCGGGCGACAGCATGGGGGAGCGCGCTCTAACAAATACACTTGTCTCAAGAAATGTCTGCCGCATCTGCCATGGGGTGGCTGCTGGGCTCTCAGTTCCATGAAGATGGGCACGCTCATGTCACACACACACCCCAAGGGAGCCCAGCAGCCTACCCGAAAGCCTCCAGTCTCTTTCCTTTCTCTTCTCTGAAGACGGGGACCCAGGGGCAGCAGGTGGGCGCTGTGGGGAGACATCCTGGCCAGGCCCTGGGTCAGGGTTGCAGGCCCCAAGAGGGAGGTTCCTCCCACAGTCTCCCCAAACGGCCCCAGACCACCCCATAAAAGGAGCTGTACACCTTCTCTCTCCAGGGGCAAAAGGCTGCACCCTAAGTGAGACTCGCGTGGCCTGGCCTGGCACCAGCCTTGAACCAGCGACCAGGGTCCTCGCCCAAATACCCCTGTATGGCTGGGCAGCTCTGCAGACCAGGGACCACAACTCCTGTCCCCAGGAACGCAGGGCACAGAGGAGTGTGTGACTGGACACACACCTCCTCTTCCTCCCAGGGTCCCAGAGCCAGGGTGACCGAGATCAAACCGTCCCCCTGCCCGTGATGGGAGGGCAGTGGGGGCTCAGGCCTGGCCTCAGCCTTGCCCTGAGGGAGTTGGTGACAGGAGGGGCCGCCCAGCCTGCCTGGCCACATGTATCAGCCAAAGGAAGTGCCTGATGGTGTCCATACTGCAGGGGATCTTCCACCACTTCAGGGTCCAAGGGCAAGAGACTCAAGGGGGTGTGCACAGAGAGGCCAGGGTGGTCCTGTTGTGCTGTCTCTGTGGCCCAGCGCTCACTCCCGACCCTGGCGCCCCCGGGGCAAGCTCGGGACACAGGGCAGAGCAGCCAGCAGACAGGCGTCCTGCAGCTGGACGGGGCAAGGGTGGGGTGGAGTCAGGTTGCCTTGGGATGGGGCGGGATCCTTTGGGATGGGGAGATCCAGTTGGATCAGGGCGGATCCCTCAGAATGCGGCAGAATCAGGCAGGATGGGGCAGGATCTGGGGTGCCCTGATGGCTAGGGGTAGGCGTGGGGCTCAGTGGCCCGCTGCTGACTCTGCTTCCCAAAAGCCCTGAGTGCCCAGGTCCCCCCAGAGCCACGTCATCTGACTCCTGGCAGCTGCTCTCCAGACCCTCCCCAGTGGCAAGGAGGACTCCAGCCACAGGCTGTCCACAGGGCCACGCAGGCTCAAGTCAGAACTGATTTAAAACAGTGTTGTGAGGAACAGCATGCAGTTCTTCTCAGTGTTCTTGGGGTGTTGGCTGCGTGGGGTGGCAGGCTCGCCTCAGCCTGGCACCTGCCTCAAATTCATCAGGACGGGTCACTGGCTTCAGGGACCACCAGGTCCCCAGCCCTGCAGTTTCTACCACTGCAAATGTGGGTGCTCCCTTGACACTGACGACAGGGCCAGCATGAGAGGCCCGGCCACAGGTGGGGAGGGAGGAATGGGCAGTTCTGACTCTCATGCTGAGAGGCCCAGGAAGTGCCCGGGGTGGCCTCCACATGGCACCCAGCAGGCACATCCAGGGCTGGACCAGGGGAAGGGAGGGTACGGTCACTAGGAGGGACATCCTGGGGGGAAAGGCTGGGCAAGCCCCACCTCCCGATGGTGTGGGGGAGACCGGCCTGGCACTCTGGAGCCTGGTCCCAACTGGTGACAGCATCGCCTTCCCCCAGGTCCTGTCAGGGTGTCTACAGGAGCAGATGGGCGGGGCCCCGGGTAAGGATAGGTGTCTACGGTCCCTGTCCATGTGGTGGCCAGGGCAGGCCCCAGACCACCAGGCAGCTGAGAATGTTTCCACCTGCACCCTGCCCACCCGGCCCCAGGACCCCGGACGCACACTGCCCTCTCAGAGCTTTCCCCTTCTGTGGTAGGTCTTTATCGAGGTCGTGGCTGCCCCTCAACCGCTACTCCATGCAATCAGAGACAAAGAGGACGAAGGCGGTGCCTGGCCCTCCACCTCCCTGGTGCCACTGGTTCCCCCCAGAGCCTGCGGCCCCAGGCAGCTGAGCCCCCGAGGGTCCCCCCTTCAGGTGCCTGTAGAGCTGGGAGTACCCCCTTCCCAGGAGAAAGGTCACGGGCGGATGTCAGAGGGTCACTGTGTGGCTCCAGTCTGGTCCCAAGGCCTGGGCGCTCCTCTGCTCCAGGACCCCAGGGCCACGGACTCTGGGCAGTTTCCACTATGGACCCCTCAGGGACAGGGGGGGATGGAGAAGGTGCTGACCGGTAGCTTCACAGACGGGACACCTGAAGGCAGGTAGCGACGCCTCACCAGGGCAGAGCAGGGACGGAGGGACACACAGGGCTGGCTCATCCCTGCCCAGGGAAGTCGGAGACCCAGGTCTGACACAGCTGGCACCCACTGTCCCCCCACTCAGGCCTCCGGGCGGCCGGTCGTCTACTGGGAAGAACCCCAGTGGGAAAGGCCTGCCCCTCGCTGCCCACTGCACCCAGACCTGCTCCTCACCCCAGCCGCCCCTCCAGCCCCACAGCAGAGAGACACGGGCTGGCCGGCAGCCACACAGGCTCCTGGGGCCTCGATGCCCGGCAGCCCTCGGCCCTTGTTGGAAACGGGAGCTGGTAAAGCCTTGTTGGGCGGCGTCCGAGCCCTTTCCCACCCCCAGCTCCGTAAGAGCCAGACCACAGCAGGGTGGTCTTCCCCGGCCCACAGACTCTGAGAAACGGGTCCTCCTGGCAACCTCAGCGCAGAGCTGGCGGGGTGGCAGCCGGCCACGTGGCCTCACTTCCGGGAGCCGGCCCAGCCCAGGTCGCCGAAGGGGCCCTCGCTGGTGGCCGAGCGTGGCGGAGGCCCACATGGAGTGCACAGGTCAGAGTCCGTGTCCGACTCGCCCTCGGCGATGTAGGGCCTGACCTTGACGCACGGCGCCACGGCCGCGTAGCCCAGTGCATCCAGCTGCTCCTTGGACTGGGAGATGCTGAAGCCGCTGAAGGAGCGCTCCAGCTCCTCGTGGTCCACGGACGGGATGGAGATGGATGTGTCGCTGTCCCGCAGGCCGCCTTCGGGGGGCCGGGCCACATCCTCGTGCCGCAGGAACTCTGAGCTGGCCCGGTGGCCCCCGCTGTAGGCGGACAGCGAGCGCTCGTGGGTGGGTGGGGGCGGGATGCGCACCAGCGCACCGGGGTCCCCCACAGGCGAGGAGCCGGGGCCCTGGCGTGGGCAGCCCTGCGGCTGCCATGAGGTGGAAGGTGGGCACGGGGTGGGGGGCGCGGCAGGCGGTGCCGCGAAGTTCTTCTGGCCCATGGAGCTGGCGGAGCGAACCACCTTGATGATACAGCCATTCTTGCCCAGGTGCTCGCGGCTGTCCTCGGGGCTGTGGTAGGGCGGTGCCGGCTCCGGCTCCTTGGCCCCAAAGTAGGCCTCGGTCTCGGCCGGGGGGATGCCCATGCGTTGCATGTAGATATTCACCAAGAAGTCCAGCTTCTTCTCCATGGACAGCACCTGGGCGGAGGGGGCTGCATCAGGTGGCTGCCCCTGGAGGTGGAAGGCAGGGGGAGCCCAGCCGGGTGGGGTTTCCCGCAAGTTCTATAGAGGTAGCTTCAGCCTGACCCTGCGGGGCACCCAGCGGCTCCATCCCAGGCAAGGAAGGAAAAGCAGAAACCCCGGGAGCCCAGGGCCTCCCTGCAGAGCCCCACAGCACCCCCGTGAGCCCCACAGCACCCCCGTGAGCCCCCGCAGCACCCCCGTGAGCTCCCGCAGCAGCCTCCCCGTGAGCCCCCGCAGCACCCCCA